GGTGTAAACATGAAGTTTATCAATATTGATAATTTATCCAGTTGGCATAATTGGTTTAGCCATGTTAATTCAAGTATAATGCGCAAAAATAAAAGAGAATTCACATGGGTAAATATTAAAGAACTAGAAAGTTCTTTACAAATTCTCTTACATTGCTTGTTCTCATTAATTAATAGACCAATTAAAATTGGGATTGAATCCCATGAATGCTGGAAATATCAAAGGTGAATATGGGCCAATTCACCTGCCATGTATACCATATAAGATGCATCTATGAGATGGTTACATGTGCAATTATTATTAACACGCAACCTGGCCGGTGTGTGCGAGGTAACTTGCTCAATAATTTAATTTCGAGCATAATTTCCAGATTTCCTATTCAAGATAGTTTATCTTGATAAGTTGGTTTACATCACAGTTGATTTAGCAAAATAATTTATTGAGTGCCTCCACTTAATAGCTAAACTATTGCTTATGAGAACAAAGTTATCTATATCAGTTTGATATAGGTTATATACGAAAGTATATTACATTCTCCCCTCACAAGTGGTTCAGGGTCAGGAACCAAATAATTCCATCTTATTATTATTGATGTGCGGTGTATATTTTGATTAACACCATAACGCACAAAGGTGGATTCTCAAAGTTGAGGTAACAAGTTAGTTTTTCTAACATGAGGGGGAGACATGATAAACAGTTGAGAAAACGTTACGTGGAATGAATTATCATTTGTACATCTAGATCCTCGAATAACATAATATGAACTTGAGGTTCATAAAAAGGATAATTCATTTGCAATATATTGCAAAAGCATGCCAAACGCATTTGCTGACCCAGAGAAAGTAACTATATTCTCACTGCAAATGCTCCTATTATAATGAGTCCTAGAAGGACAAAGTCTATGGTACGCTTAAAGCGTATAGATAGATCGGTTTCAAATAAACTTCTTGATAAAGAAGATGAGCAAATGATCATAATAAATGAGGCAAGTGATCCAAAAGATCACATGACATAACACTTCATAAAATCTCAAGAAGATTCAGGTACCTGAAAATATGAATGAAGAGATCTTTATGTTATGTCTTTATGAAAAAATATTGAAACTGATATAAAATGTTTGTCGACGACATCTATGATACCGCTAAATATATATGAGGATCTTAAGTCTGGTGAAACAATTTCGAATAAGATTGGTTTCATATGAAAGACATGCAGTTTTGAACATGTAGTTCAAACACTTGAAAGTATAAAGTCAATGGTATGTGCAATCAGTTTTCGATATCTTATATGTCTAGCATGACATGAAAACTTGATATGCATCTAAAGTCTATTATATGGCTTATATGACTTAACAATCCCTGAAGTATTTAAATTGCTTAAAGCATATAAAATTCATGGTCATGAAGTACCACTTCCTTAGTGCAATTTGTGCACAAATGTATCTTGCTATAACTATATGCATGATAATATGATAGCAAGAGTTTTCATCCCTATGTGAAGATATTGAAATGATGATTCCAACAAGATCATATGAAGACAATACATCTATCAGGGATGATGATTTCAATGTGAAACAAATTCGTTGAAGTTAATATGGCTGATATTGTTTATCAAATATCTACCAAAGACCTTTTGAAGATGGTGCACAAGATTGGAATGCAAATGCTTAAAGATATGAATTGATGCTCTCATCAGGGGGAGTTAATACGCGTTGTACTCTTTTTCCCTTACAAGGTTTTGTCCCAATGGGTTTTCCTTGCAAGGTTTTTAACGAGGCAATCAAAAGGCGTATTGTTAGATATGTGTACTCTTTTTCCTTTTCTAGAAATTTTTTTCCCATTGGGTTTTATTTAGTTAAGGTTTTAACGAGGCATATTATCTGTTGAATAGACATTCAAGGGGGAGTGTTATAAATAGAATTATATTTATGGTGAGAGTTTCTAGGGTTCATTGCTTGGTGGCTAAGTCACCCTCTCCCTATAAATAGAAGGTTCTATTCCATTATAATTCACCCCAAATCAATAAAAATTCTCTCTCCCTGCTTTTCTTTGCAATACTCTTCTTTCTTCTTTTATTATTTCATAACAGTTTCCAAATTTATATGTTTTGCACTAGAAATCTGATGTTGTATTGTCACATCAGATATTATCATAAATGTTATTTTCTACAACAACTTTTTTTCCCTTCATATTATTTCATTTCTAATTTCGTTCATTTCAAAATTACTAAAGTTTTTTCTTTGATTTTTTAATTTAATTTGTCGTTCTTAAAGTTTTTATTTATAATTTATTCTATATTTTGGGTCACTGGTTGCCATTTATCTTTTATTATTTTCTTTAATTTCTAATTAACATATAATTTCTTTCACAATTTTCATATTTTTGAGTAATTTTAAGTGAGCTTATGATTATTCAAGATTCAAATTTAAGACAGCCGATTGTCAAATCAAGCATATGTGTTAATAGCGTGTAAGCATATTAGTAGTTTCTTTTATTCGTTTACTTGTATATATTAACATATATTGTAAAAAGATAGCTATGCTAACTATTCATCTTCTCAATTTAACCATATCCGAAAAAAGTTTTTTAACCTTTTGCTTCCAAATTGAGTTTTCACCATTTCTTTTTCTTGTTATTTTGATAAACAAAAATCAAGAAATATATAATTGTTTAAAGGCCAAATACATAGGCATCGCCTCTTACTTGGCACCACTTTTCATTTTGGCACTCCACCTCAGTCATATTCCATTTTGGATCTCCAACCCCATTCCTTATGTGTCATTATCATGAAATGTCCACCCGGTGTGAAAATATAAAGCACGCTGTGTATAAATACTTTTGAGGTGTTATAACCCTCCAATTAAATGTAGCCGCCTGTTTTTTGTTAATCTATGTCAAATGGGTCTAACTCAGATCTATGTTGCTCCGACTCCTAATCAATGTCAAATGGGTCTAACTCAGATCTATGTTGCTCCGACTCTCCTAAAATGTCGCCGGATGCGTATTGAATCCTTCAAAAGTAGTGTATTTTTTGAGGATCCGACACGGGTGCGGCAACATTTTGGAGAGTTCACGCAACATAGACACAGATAACCTAAACCTAATTTAATAACGAGATGGGCTATGTGTAAAGTAAGAGTCCTGCGTATTTTTTCTAAAGGTCATAAACTCGTCTAGCCTAATCCTGTTCCCCAAATCCCTGGTCGTAAGTGATTGAAATCATCGATTATAGATGATTTTTTCATTATTTGAGGACGGGAATCATATTTCATCAACTAATTTATTTGTATAATTGATAGTTAAGGTTGATTAGGAGAATAACTTTGATTTTTGTCGGCCTTATAAGTAATCGTTGTTTATTGTCGTAGTTCTTGTACGCGCAAGTGTTGATTTGTCAATGCATTACAGCTTTTGTTGTTGACGTGGTGTTAACAGAGGCGGATCCAGGATTTGAAGGCTCCGGGTGCCACAAATTTTGAATGTAGCCATATTACAATTTACATTGTTTAAATTGGGTATATATTTAATCAGTTTGGTTTATTTGGATTTCGGTTTGAGTTATTCGTCTTTAAGAATAATATAGACAAATTGATCGAGGAAAAAAAATATGTAGTAATAATTATGATAACTTGAAAAAAAATCATAAGATTCAACAGGAGTATGCATTTTGTACAGGAAAAAAAGCTTTCTATCAATTTATCTTTAGATACTCGAGGCAAAACTTATACTAATAAGCACTCTAAACATTAAAACATAAATAAGTATACGGACATGATTCAATTTACTACTTTTTATGCAAATTAACTCACTCGGTATTATATACAATTATCCTACTTTAGAGTAATTTGACAACAAAATAAACTTTCATCATTGATTAGAAACAGTAACTTATTCAAGGATTTCTATTTAATTTTTTTGGTTTCTGCAAATAGATTTACCGGAGTTGTGTTCATGAAGAGAAAATTAATTTCTTATCATCTATTCATAAATCATGGAGGAGTTGGGAAAGTACAATAGTGGAGATTTTTTTATGAGGAAAAAATATATTTGTGAAAAAAAAAAGATTTTTATATTTTATGGTTAATGTTTAAAGGAACAAAAGGAGAAAAGAAATTTCAAAATAAACTAATAAAATCAAAGAAAAAGTCAATAGAAACTACTAATAAACAAAAAAGAGCAATTAAGGAAAGAGAAAGAAGAAATAAACGAGTAAACATCCTCCTGTAATTGTAGCAAAAGCTTTTAAAACCATTATAGGTTGAAATCGATCTCCCATCACCAGGGTGGAAATGATAGTGTCTTGCTAGTAGCATCTTGAATCATTTTGTTACTGGGGCGCCACTTTATATATATATATATATATATATATATACTACTGCATAGTCTCAATCAAAGATTGCGGGTGGCGTACCACCCCGTCCCTTACACATAGATCCGCCCCCGGTGGTGTATTGGGAAATTGATACCAAAAAGCTAAGGGTTTTAAATTCATGTACATAAATTTACATGGTTAGGCTGTTTTAGTCAAAAGCTGATATATGTGGATATGCAGCTCGGATTGACTAAGTGAGATGATGTTCTGAGATTTAAAGTAGTTGCTGCTTTCTTTAGTGGTGAGCTGCTTGCTATTTTGCAATAGCTTGGAGCTGCTCTACTTTAATATATTAGTATAACATTTATGTGGTTATAGAAAAATTAAATTAAGTTATTCAAATTTAGAAAGAAATAAGCTTTTTCAAAACAGATTGAAAAAAAGAAATAAATCACAAAATTGAAGCGATTAAACGGATGGAGTACTATATTATCCTGTCTAGCTTCTGCAACAATGTTTTGAAGTCGGAAGGAAGTAAGAAAGAGACAAGATTCTCCAACTAGGAACTTTGCTGTTAAATATATAATAAATAAACAGAGACATAATTTGTTTTGATGAATTAACTAGTTATGTTTCCCTTTATCAGCAAAAGAAAAGAAAAAGGAAACTGCAATGGTACGATAACTTACTTGATTGATTTGGTGGAATACTTAAGCCCAGTGCGCGATTGAGTTATCCAATCTTTGTGCGTGATGTTTAAAGAACCTATGCTGCTGCTACTCCTGATAAAGATATTTAAGGTCACTTCAATATATGAAGAAAAAGTCTTAATTAAACATAAGAAGATTAGCAGATAAAATGCTCACCTTTGGTATTCTGCGCCATATATTGCAACATTCCACTCACAGAATATGGTTTATAGGGGATAGGAAGCCATGAGCTACTCAGCGTCCAGAGTTAATTGTCTAATTAAATTATCTTGGTCACTTGTTCCTGTAATTCTGCACATTAGCTTGATTACAATAATGCGGTTAGCCCATGACACATGTACATATTTAATTAGATCCTATCTGACATGTGGCAGTCTCATCTACGCATGCAGTTGATTAAATCAAGAAAACAAATTAAAGAAAGAAAATAGTCCTTCCAAACCATATTTTAGAGGTAGGCACGAGCAACTTTATAACGAGCCTTGTATTTAACATGCAGCCAACTCAATTAAGCAATTGATTTCAAGAAAATAAAGGAAAGAGGAGGAGCGGGTACATATGAGTTAAACTAATCAGAAATATAAAAAAGGTATCTACGAATAAACATTATTCTTGGTTCTAAGGATGTGTAGGAAAGTATAGCAGATATTGTATACGGTGGAAATCGGGGTATCCGATTTCATTCTTTGGTCGAGATACGAATGTCACGTCAAAGAGCTAGGACGTCGAGTCCGGGTCGAGGTTGGCCTCGATTGCGGACAGAAAGAGGCAGACTTCGAGTGACACAGGCATGACTTGATAACGGAAAAGGCGAGATATCTGCGATTGGTTGAGAATCGTAGTGCAAATCTCGGAACGAATCAATCTACAACGGTTAATTAGATGTTAATATGATTTTCTGCTATAATTAGAAGTGTACCTTATTTAGGACTCCTCTGTTATATAAAGAGGGATCCCATTCACTTGTAAGGAGGATGATTGTTCATTGATAAGAATATATACATTCATTATGTTCCTGCTATTTCACTTACTGTTCATCAGAGTTGCTTTATTTTTTACTCTTGCCATCCCACCCCGAGGCTATCCCAAGTCAAGGTCGAGACCTGGCTAACATACTGGTTTGATTAATTCTATCCTATCGCCTAATTTTATCTATTTAATTCCTTGTTTATCAATTGGTATTGGATTGAATCACATATTCTTAAAACCATAATATAAGTTTAATTGTTACTCGAATTTTAGGGTAAACAGTTTGGCGCCCACCGTGAGGCTAAGGATAATAGTGATTGTTCGGTGCTGATTCTGATAACACACATTATTTCACGCTTGTTCTTGTCAAGTATTTTTGCTCTCAGCTTAAAACACGTCAAACTCAGAAAACGCACCCGCGCATGGTGACAATGGTCTCGGGTTTCACGAGGAGAACGACAATGTAATTGCTCCAGGAGCCGAAGTGCCATCGAGGAAGTACCAGTTGCCGATCCAGTCAATGTCAGTTCGCACGTTACTTTAAATGCAGACCTAGGCGCAGACCCCGAAGGGAGTGTACGCAAGGAAAGCCGATCTGGTGGTCGAGGTACACAGGGCAGAGGAATGTGGGAGTTAGTCTCCAGGTGATATTCGAGATGCTACAGGCTCAGCAGGCCGCTATCGCTCAGCTACAAAATCAACATAGAACTCCAAGTGGTGTTGAGCCAGAAATCACTCGTCGTACCGAGCCAGTTTCAGATAGGTCGAATAATAACGGATCGGGGACCGATCCTGCAATAATGAAAATGCTCAAGGAGCTCACCAAGAGAATCGAGTCAGGAGAAAGAAAATCGAAGCTAATGATAAAAATGTGGAGACATACAACTCTCGAGTTGATCAGATACCGGGGGCACCGCCAATCTTGAAAGGGATGGATTCGAAGAAGTTTGTACAAAAACTGTTTCCTCCAAGTGCGACTCCGAAGCCTATTCCAAAGAAGTTTCGTATGCCAGACATACCCAAATATAATGGGACCACCGATCCCAGCGAGCATGTTACTTCATATACATGCGCCATCAAGGGTAACGATTTAGAAGATGATGAAATCGAATCTGTGCTGTTGAAAAAGTTCGGAGAGACCTTTCAAAGAGAGCAATGATTTGGTATCACAACCTGCCACCAAATTCCATCGACTCATTTGCCATGTTAGCAGATTCTTTCGTAAAGGCACACGCCGGGGCCAAAAAGGTCGCAACAAGAAAATCGGACCTTTTCAAGGTAAGACAAAGGAATAGTGAAATGTTGAGGGAGTTCGTGTCCCGATTTCAAATGGAACGCATGGAGTTGCCACCGGTCATAGATGATTGGGCCAATCAAGCTTTCACCCAAGGGTTGAATGAGCGGAGTTCGATAGCATCACGTCAGTTGAAACAAAATTTGATCAAGTATCCAGCTGTAACTTGGGCAGATGTGCACAATCGATATCAATCGAAGATCAGGGTCGAGGACGACAAATAGGGAGCCCCTTCCGGTTTAGTACATCCAAATACGTCGGCAGTAAAAACCCAGAGGGACGTCGACAGGGAGCTAGGGTCGAACAGAGAACGGTATCAACCATATACCGCAGATCGAAGAAACAATGGTTCAGGACGCAACTCCGCCCGGAATGATCGAAGAAGTGATCGAGGACAGAATTTTCGGGGACTTATGAGCAAAAGTGGTTATGATAAGTATGCCGATCCCATAGAGGCACCTCGGTTATCGGAATATAACTTTAGCATCGATGTATCGGGCATTGTATCGGCAATCGGAAAGATCAAAGATACTACGTGGCCCAGACCCATACAGACCGATCCTTCCTAAAGAAACCCAAATTTGATGTGCAAGTATCATCGCACGCATGGTCAGGATCGAGGATTGCAGACAATTAAGGGAGGAGGTAGCCCGTCTATTCGATGAGGGCCATCTTCGAGAGTTCCTCAGCGATTGGGCCAAGAATCATTTCAGAGAAAGGGATGCCAATAGGGAAAATGAACAGGAGGAACCCCAACATGTCATTCACATGATCGTCAGTGGGGTCGACATCCACAGGGACCCATATTCAAACGCACTAAGGTATCAATCACTAGGGAAAAACGAACCCGAGACTATGTGCCCGAAGGCTCCTTATGATTCAACAATGAAGAAACAGAAGGCATTTCTCAGCCCCACAACGACGCCCTAGTAATTTCTATCTTATTGAATAAAGTTCAAGTTAAGCGTGTTTTAGTGGATCCAGGTAGCTCGGCAAATATCATCCGATCAAGGTCCGGGAACGTACTCATGAGGGAGCGGTTCCACTGACATTTTATCACCTGCCGGCCGGGAAGAAAAGGAAGAAGCTTTCTCTTTTTGTGGGACGGTCTTGGAGGGTTTCGCCATTGATTCAGGTAGAAGGAAGCGGAAAGAGATGAAAATTGGTATTTTTGGTACTAACTAAGTTGACTCAATGGGTGGTGAAAGAGAAGAGATGGAGAGAGTAAGGAACTTAGAAAACTTGGTGGAGATGAAAGTAAAATTTGATTCAACCAAAGAGCCTGAATTTATAGATTCACGGTGACGGTTCGGTGGTGCTAGTGGCCGACCGTCACTAGCAAGCATTAATGGTTTGGGGAACTGTACCGACGGGATGTTTCGGTCACTTCGATCGCTTACGTCACAGGGATGACATCATTATCAGGGTCTCCAGAAAATCGAGGCTCAAGTCATTTCTTATCGTTTTACTCTAAGAAACGAGGGAACTATCTGTATATGGTGGAATTGGGGCTACCCGATTTAATTCTTTGGTCGAGATAGGAATGTCACGTCAAAGAGCTAGGACGTCGAGTCCGGGCCGAGGTCGGCCTCGATTGTGGAGAGAAAGAGGCAGACTTCGAGTGACACCGGCATGGCTTGATAACGGAAAAGGCGAGATATCTGCGATTGGTCGAGAATCGTAGTGCAAATCTCGAAACGGATCAATCTACAATGGTTAATTAGATGTTAATATGATTTTCTACTATAATTAGAAGTGTACCTTATTTAGGATTCCTCTATTATATAAAGAGGGATCCCATTCATTTGTAAGAAGGATGATTGTTCACTGATAAGAATATATACATTCATTACTTTCCTGCTATTTCACTTACTGTTTATCAGAGTTGCTTTATTTTTTACTACTCTTGCCATCCCACCCCGAGGCTATCCCAAGTGGAGGTCGAGACCTGGCTAACATACTGGTTTGATCAATTCTATCCTATCGCCTAATTTATCTATTTAGTTGCTTCTTTATCAATTGGTATTGTATTGAATCACATATCCTTAAAACCACAATATAAGTTTAATTGTTACTCGAATTTTAGGGTAAACAGATATATGCAAAACCAAAAAACTAGGAAGGTCATCAAAATGAAAAAGACGACTTGACAAGAAAAGTAAGAAGGATCAACAAGTCATCATTCTCATCCACCAATGTTTGGATGACACCATGTTTGAGAAGGTAGCCGATGCAACCACCTCAAAGGAGGCTTGGAAGATTATACAAAATTCTCTCCAAGGATTTGGTAAGGTGTGAAAAGTAAAACCTCAAACTCTAAGGGTTAATTTTGAGGTTTTAAAATTGAATGAATCTGTATCAATTTTGGGTTATTTTTCAAATATGAAGGTTGTTATCAATTAAGAAGATACGGAAAAGACCTAGAGGATGTCCATGTGGTAGAAAATATCATTCGTTCTTTAACAACCAAATTTAATTATGTGGTGTATGCTATTGATAAGTAGTCTAGAAATTAAGGCTCTATGATGATAGGTGGTGATTCTACCACTTATTCTAGTTCTTTTTACTTTAGGTTATGATAATAAATAACCTCATATGATGTTAAGTGGTGTTTTTATCACTTATTCTAGTCCCTTTTGCTTTAGTTTTTGTATTCTTTAATTGTAATATGAGGTCATAGTGTGTATTGCTCGTATTTCAGGTACAATGAGTCATAAAGAGAATTTAAATTAATTGAAGTGGAATTGAGCAACACGAGTTGAAGAAGTGAAAATGCATCCAGTGAAATCGCATCTGCACAATAATGATCGCATTTGTGGACTCGCTTCTGCGAGAAAGTATCCGAATCTGCAGGAAGGCAGCTGTTCTGTTGAGATCGCATCTGCGAATATTGCACCGCATATGCAGTATCGCTTCAGCGTTGGAAGGCCATATCTGCGGAGTCCCTCCTGTGATGCGATTTCTCTTTCTGCGGAGTACCAATTTC